TACCGGCCGCTCAGCGCCTGGCTCGTGTGTGCCGCTGTCCTAGTCACTCCGCCTGTTCTGCTTCCCGCTTGGATGAATTGCGCTGTAATTCTAGTGTAATTCTGGTGCCTCGCGAAGTGGCTCTAGTGAGGGGCCTTGCTCCCCGTTCCCTTCCGAAGTGAGGGGGCACCGGGCCGCGGTGACGGCGGCCTCCTCCGCTCCGGAGGCGTCTGGAGGCTGCGCCCGGTGCGCACCGAGGAGCTGCGTGGGCTCGGGCTGCACCGAGCTGGCCTTGGCTCCAGAGCGAGGGCCGGACACGAGGCGTGTCGGTGGAGGGAGGCCCTGCCGGGSCGCGCGCTGTGGCCTGAGCCCCGTAACGCGGCGCTGAGGGCCCGCAGCAGCTCCCCGCACACACGAGCCGTTCGGTGCCTGTGTTCGTACTTGTCGGAAAGGGGGCTTTTCTTTGCTCTGTGCTCCTGCTTTCCCGCTTTTCCATCCTCAAAGGGGATATTTGYTGCAACTTCCATCTGCAAGGCTTAGCCACGGCCCATACTTACGTCCTTGGTAACCTGCAGACCCCATTTCTGCCTCTGCTGAATCCTGAAAAAGGTGGTGTGGGGATGGAGGCCTCAGAAACTGAGGGCCTGCAAGGAATCTTGGTGGGATTTAATGATGTTTTTGCGTGGTTTTCCTCGGGGCGCTGTCAGACACAGCCCACCTTGAGGCAACGCTCTCTGTAGCAGCCCACGAGTGTTTCCACGTGGTGTGTGTCCAGTGGTGGACACTGGCCAGTCCTAAAAACCAAGGCAAGGAAGGTCTTCTCTCAGGTTTCCTTTGCCCCATCACTAACTTATTCTCAGTTCCATTTCTCTTGYTTTCCTTCCTTTAATTTTGCAAAGGGCAGCAAAGCAGGCGGGTGCTCAGGAGGGCTCTCTGGTGGCCCCTGTGCAGCAGCAGCTAAAGGATGGTTCGTGGGAGGCTTCCTGCTGCGCCGGCCCCTGTGGAGGCACCTGCAGATCCTTCCTTTCCTCGAGGAGCAGAKCGGGAGCATCAGTGAGGGGAGCACTGCTGGTAACCAACAGCCAGGTTCCCTCCTTAGGGATCACCTAAATCACCTTAAAGAAAAAAAATCACCTTTAAATCACTTTTAGGGTGGCGGAGGGGAAACGCAGGCTCTTCGGTGTGTGGTGCCACCTGGAGCTGTGTCGTGCAGGTCACTTCTGCCTCATCTTTCCAGTTTGTCACCAGTCGGTCCCTGCGCTAGGCTCTTTCACTAGAATACAAGCTGACTGTTTAGAAAAATAGCGTAGTGCTGCAAGGAAGCTGATGGGGATCCTTTTCCATCCCTTAAGTCAGCCGTGGGTACTAAGGGTGGTGACTCATCTCATATGAGAGCCAACTTAAGGGTTTGCCAGCTCTGTGCAAGACGAGGCTGCTCTCGGAGTGCTGAACTTGTGCCCTCTTTCGGGAAGAGCTCCCGCGTTCCTGCAGCTTCCCTGGGAGTTTTGCGGATACCGAACAGGAGTATCCACAGGGCTCCTGTCTGAGAGCCGCCAGCTGGAACGTAGCGCAACGTGCAGCTTTAACCAGAGGCCGATGATTCATGTTTCTTTGGATATTGTGTGTAACACCATTTCGAAGATTTTGCACAATAGTCTGACGCTGTTGTCTGTACTGTGACAGATACCGAGATTTGCCTCTCTTTGTCACGGGCTATGTTACTTTACTTGAGAGCTGAATAAATGCCTCATTAATTAAACATGATTAAGATGAACAGGCGAGGAAAGTACACATTCGGAAGCAGTATCACCTGCAAAAAAGATAACTTTGTGTGTATATATATATATGTATGTATATATAATTAATGACTTCTTGAGCTCTTGAAATTTCAGGAGTCTGCCTTGATTGTTCCATACATCCATATTTTCCATCAACCCTGAGGTTTCTGTGTACAGGGAGAGTTGCTGGCCTTTCTTGAAGATAGAAGGAAACTAGAAGTTAATGGAATACGTTTTTTGATTGTTTCTTTAGTATTGCTCATATTTTAGAAAGCTATGCAAAAGGCACAAAATGCTTTATTCTTCTTTCTATTTTAYCTTTATTTTTTTCCTCTCTTTCCAGTCGTTGCTCCGTCATTCCAAGAATGCTGCTAGGGTGGCCTTTTTGGACCCTCAACTTGCCTGATCTGGGTGAAACAAAAAGTTCCTCTAAGCCAATGAGACCATTACCCTGTGCATTTTGAAATCAGATGCGAGTAGTTAGTGGCTGTCTCTGAGTTAATCTGGTTAGTAGCTCCCCAGGACCTAATGTATTTACATTTATGCTGAGGAAAAAAAGAACAGTACCAAGTTGTTAATTAGCTTTTTGTCGTCTCTAAGTCAGCTAAACTAACCTTGTGTGTGTGTGTGTGTGTGTGTGTGTGTGTGTGTGAATGCTAGTGTGAAGGACATGTGTAATTGGGGATTAATTTGTGTATTCATTTGTTCATTTTTAGCATTGGTCAGAGAAATGCACGTGCATGCAAAGCAGGGAAAAAACACTGCGGGAAGAGGTAAACAGGGTTGAGTCTCTTCCTGAAGCTGCAGTTTTATGAACCCTAAACTCTCCCGCTGTTCTTTGTCATACTTTTTTTTTTTCTTTTTAATTTTTCTTTTATTACCTGGTTAAAGCATTTCCTGAGTTACAGGTTTTCAGTTTTAAGAGAAAACCCCAGAGCTTGAGTCTGTCAACTCCAGACTCATGTGTTGCTCTTTGAAATGGGTGAGATAGTCTGGCTGAGACCTGTGTGGATCGTGCCCTATATCAACACAAGTGAACAAGTGTTGTTTGAGGAAGTTCGGAGCTTTCCCGTTTTGTGGTGAAGGTCTTCTTGCTCCTGCAGGGTTTTCCAGTGGTTTCTTGGAGTAGGTAGCATGAGTCCAGTGTGGATTTGGAGACAGATTCTGCCTGTTACTGCTATTTGTGCATGACCCCAGGGATTCACTAATAGCTCTGCCTCTATGCAGGGTTACTGAAGTTGCCTTCTTTTTGCATTTGACCAAAGCTTTGGAAGGATGCAGGAGGCAGAGGTGMTTTCTGTAGAGTGCCCCGTAGAAAGGGCAACAAGGAGAGAGAAGCAAGATCAGGTCTACAGSGATGGAAATCTCATACCTTAAATATACTGATAAGGCCAACTGCCACCAGCCAGCTCACGATGGTGACAGATCAGGAACTGTTCAGGGAGATCACAGAAGCTGCAATTTCAGGATATTAATGATGGGAAATTTCAGCTTTCTCAACAGAGACCAGTTTCATGTCTCATTCGGAAGAGAAGTAGAAGGAGCTCTTTTTGAAGCACCCTAAGTCACATCTTCCTAGATGAGCCAAGTTTAAGCCTACAAGAAGAGATGCTGTTCCAAATTGATGGTGCATGGGACCTCCTTGGAGCTATTAGTGGGACAACTGTAAGAGTAACCACAGTACAGTTAGATGGAAGCTGGTAGATGGAAGCAGCAGACCCAKGGGGACAGATGGAGCTTGGTCAGATGGGTCAGAGGAGCGAGCTTGGGTTTAATTAATTACCCCAGAAGAATGGCACCTGGTGGGTCAGTGCCATATAGCAGCTGTTGTGCCCGAGAGCTAACAGATTTTCAGGATAATTCTCATCTACAAAAGGGGCTTGAGAGGGTGTCCTGAGGACAACACTCGTCCCTGAGTTCCAGCAGCATTCAAGGGACAAGACATTTTAAAGAAACAATAAGGGAGCACAGGAAAGAGAGTCTGTTGGAAAGCAGTGTGGCTTCCATACAGGGAAAGGCCACGTTGCTAATCCAGTGGTGTTCCATGCAGATGTGGGTGGAGGGAACCCAAGGGATGGCATAGATTTTACAGAGATACAGTTGAAGAAGGAGGTGGATTTCCATGGGTTTGGAAGTATCAGTGGGAAGCTGGTAAAAGACAGGAAGTTTTCAGCAAGTTTTAGCACTTCTGCAGTTCCCTGCCTACAGGAGGGCTACGGTGACAACTGGAGTACCTTGGTCAGGGTCTTTCCCAGTGGGGTCTGGCTGTGTGTTTGCTATGACCTTTAGCAGTGGAAGACGTCTGTTAAGAGTCTTACCCCTTGAGCAACTCTTCCGCAGCCTAAGCCCGGTTTACTCAGCATCTTTTTGTGCATCACGTGGACTCCCTGGTCATCGTACTCTTCCTCCCCTGCACTCTGTTGTGTGTGGTTCTGTCCTGCACTGGGGAAGCCAAAGCTGGATGCTGGAGTGCACATGTGCTCCTAGAGAAGCTACATAACGGGGAAATAATTAGTCTGCTGGCTCTGCCCATGGTGATGTAGCCCCGTATGAGACTATTTTTCATTGCTGCAGAGACTCACAGCTAACTCCTGTTCAACTCTATGCACCAGGACCTCTAGGTTCTTTCCACAGGGCTGTGATCTAGCCAGCTGCTTTCCAACCTTTTCTGTTGCTTGATTTTTTTCCATTCTGGGATTTAGCACTTGTCGCTGTTGAACTTCACTGAGGTTTCTTCCAGCATATATGGTTTTTTTTCTGTCTTAGCACAGTCCATCTGAGTAAGCAATCCTGCCTGTACCCCCAGTCTGGTATTATCTACAAACTTGAGGAAGGTGAATTTTTAAACCTCACTCGAGTCCTTGATGAGGATGCTAATACTTTCTCCAGGATCAGCTCCCGTAGGGTAATATTTGCAACCAGTTGCTAGTGAATTTGTCGACTTGTAGCCAGTCCAGCAAGTTTTTTCCATCTGCTCTGTTGTCTGTCCAAGTTTGCAAGGACACTGGGGGTTTCTTCATCAAAGGCCGTATTAAAATCAAAGCCTCTTCCCATCTGCAGAGCTAACCATTTCATCTGAGAAGGCCATCAGGTTGGTGAGGCACCAGTTGAGCTTGGTGAATCCATGCTGCCTGTTCCCAATCACTTTTTCATTGTCCTTCCAAAGCCTGAAAATGGTTGCTCCGTGCTCTTTCCAGCAGCTGAGGCAAGTTTGGCCCGTGTTTCCCTTCCTGCCTGTTTTGAAGGTGATGTTTGCCTTTTCTGCAGTCATCAGGGACCTGCCTTGGTTGGCGTGACCTTCCAGGGACGAGGTAGAGTGGCCTCGCAGTGACTGGCTTAGAGTCCTCTAACTTGGTTAAGAAGCCCCGAGAGGAAAGGACAGCGCTTAGTGGTCACTCCTGAGGCTGCAGTAGCGTAACGCCCTCGAGAGCGGTGGATAAAGCCGGGCTTGAGGCGCTCGAGAGGCTTTATTCACCAGTGATGCCATGGAATGAATGAACTGCCCTGCGAAGAAAAGCCGGGAGGCTGGGGCTTGCTCTGGGCCTCCCCAATTTGGAAAAGATACGTAAGCTAGTTGGAAATTGGTGTAAAACCGATCAGCCTAAACTGCTTTATGTTGTTTTATTTTGTTTTGGAGAATATTTTGGTAAAAAAATCTGCAACATCCAGTACTTTTATTCATTTCTTTTCTTTTTGAACAGGTTGCTCTAGCAACTCTTGTTGCTAAGACACAAATAGCTGCAGATGTCGTCCAAACTGATTGCAGTGATAAATGCAATCTGGCTGCCTCGAATGCAAAAGAACAGGGGAAATAACTAAATTTGCCATGGTTACAACCTTTGGGATACGATTGTAGTGTAAGTTGAGTACTGCAGTAGTTTCCCCTTTGGTAGAACTATGGACATTGATTTCCTGGTAGCTTGCAGGGATAGCTGCGTGTTTCCAAGTCTCCTATTGAAAATAAAATTGGGACGTGTGTGATGTAGATATTTCCTTTTTTCRTGATTAATGTGATGCAGGTTTGTTCTCTTACTAATCAAGCTGGATTAAAATTTTTGGTCATTTGTGATTAGATGATCAGGAAATTTGCTGGTCTGTTTTAATAGGTAGGAGGTGATGCCTAAAAATAAAGGTAATGTGGTCTATTGTTTGAAAACTTGTTTTTAAAAAGCTCTTAAGACGAATCTAGTTTTCAGTTTGCAGTCTGTTTGCCTGCAATTCAGCAAGCATATGCAAGCCACGAGATATTTTCAAGTTTGTGGTGGTTTTTAAGAGAAAATTCTGATGATTTTATATATAATAAATGGAAGAGTCTTCAGTCCTCCTGGTTGATTTTCATGTGCTCGTCGTGGCTGCTCGTATTGGCAACAGTAGGGTGAACAAACTGCTGCAGTGCTTGGATTGGGCCTCTTCCCGGGTTTAAAAAAGGAAAGAGGGAAGTGGCATTGAGGGGAGGATGAGCAGATGCTGCCACAAAGATCGAAGCTGCCTCCTCTTCACGATATTCATGTATTTGCTGTGCAGGTGAATCCGTGTGTGGGGAGAGTGACAGGAAAGAGCCAAGAGTTGCAAAGGATAAATCTTTGCTCTGAGATCTGATGGATTGGTGAAGATGCAGAATTGTCGGGCTGAGGTGTAGCACTGCTATCATATATATGTTTGTGTGTGTGTGTGTGTGTGTGTAAAAGATTGTGATTGTATTTAATGATGCTAGTTGTTGTTGAAAATATAAAGGAAACTATTAGGAAAGCATATTTTCAAAGGGGATGGATTGAGCAAAACAAACCTTGAGGTGCTGCAGAGTGGGCTTAGAAGATGGATTTTGCTTGGAGGGCGTTTTTCCAAATCGCTTTGGAGAGCGAGGCTTTTGTCCGCACAGCTGATTACCGATGGTGTTGGGAACAGTGTGATTTGGGCTATGGGATTTTGAAGTTAACGAGCTTGCCTGCTTTTGCCTGCTTGCTTGTTTATATTTTCATTTGTATTTCAAACGGCAAAATACTGCATGTAGCACTGGGGTATTTAAAGCAGAAGTGAGCTGGTCACGCAAAGCTAGTTGGGTACAGAACATGGGGCGTTTGTAATTAACCGTAATTAAGTCGTAAATTAACCTGTGACCGCCACGGTGACCACCATAAATTAACGGTGACCTCCACAGTATCCAGTGCTTCCTTCCTCGGTGCAGAAGGAAAGACCAGGTCTCTGCTCTGCCCGGCCCTTCTTTGCACACCACGGCAGTTGCACGAGCTTGTTGGGAAATGCAGCTCCCTTTCCCTTCCTTTCCTTTTTTGCTTTTAAGCTTTTATTCAGGTTTAACGGACAAACATTTTACAGGTCTGGCCTTCTCTGTGCCCGCTTCCTTCAGTTGTGTTGTCACGATGCTCCGTGCTTGTGAAGGGCTCCTGCTCTCTGCTTGTGCCTCAAGGAAGGGAAAAGTGAAGCTCAGCACTCGGCATCGCCCAGTTCCTGCCATCTGCACCAGGGCAGCGTTTTATTGTGCAGGCCC